TCCTACATCCGGCTGAGGCTTCGGCTGTCGCAAATAGCAATGGGGATTTCATTAGCACCTTTTCATGAACATATGCCAGCATCATGGAGCTCGTCCGAGAACGGATACAGCTACGAGAGGAGTACTGTGGAAAGTATACAAGTGGGGCAACAAGAATTTCCAGAAGTTTTATGGTTAAATTATAGAATGACCGTCCGTCGCGTACTACAGAATTAATGGCTATAACTAGCCGACTAAACATTTCCAGATGGAGGTCGCTATATTATTCCAAGAGACGACTACACCAAATATATGTAGTAGGAAGGTTGGAATTGTTCTATTTAAAATAATGAACATCGATTCCAAAATCTACGTGAAAAAAGGAAGTGGGGTTCCAATGCAACGGGTTATTTAAGCTCACCTACTATCCGCTGCGGGCACGCGTCGGGTGTGTGCTCTACGAAGACGGATATGAAGCTATAAACCGAACATGGTCTCCCAGTGAACTGGTTGGGAAAGTTCTGGCAGTTGTACTTCGAGATAACTAAGATGACTCTCTAAGATATGGATGATGATAACGAGTTCTGGAATGTGACACGCAGGCGCATCAAGTCAAAAGATCGTTGAGACGATGTATAAGCGAATAAGCTGGCCAAGATGATTCGCGATTTCCGTAAAACAATTGTGATTTCGTTGTCAGTGGAACTGGCAGAGCTCAACAGGACGGAGCCAACGGGCGGCAATATGCTGGCCGGTAAGACGAGACGATATGCCAACCGATCGTTGACTGTAGCTGTGTTTCATACGGTGCAGCAACTACAAAAGTATCTACGACACTACAGGTACAGCTTTACTACGAATGAATATTGAAGTGCACCTGCAAAAGATGAGGAACAAGCAGCTTGAACTGGCCGACTTGAGTTGTACACTCACAACGATGATGATGTACGTGCTCAAAATTTTACCAGCCAAGACTGATGACTTCGTACTTATTCAAGCGCAAAACTGGTGTTAAAATATATCTCAGCTTTTAAAATTTACGAGCTGGAAGAGCAAATACGAACGGCAAACTCGGGCTACCGAATCAGAATTTCATCTCTTACGAGCAATGAGAGGGGGCGCATGTATGCACAAGACAAACAACATTTTTACTAAGATGAATAGCCGGTTAAGGCCCGACGAAGTGGAGAACAAAGATGAGCAACGGACGGAGACTCGAACATAAATGGTCGTGGCAAGCCTGAGCATCTTAGGCGTGACCGCTAGAACGCAGTTTAGTCGGCAAACAAGATAGGAACAAGATCACGTGTCATATTTACCGTATCCTCGCCTGCTATATTATTTTAGAAAACGCAGGAGATCCAAAAGCCTTAAAGATAAAGGTCAGCACAAATTTCAACATAAAACAAGACAAGGTCGATATTTTTGAATGATTTTCCTAGCATATAGTACATGCAACTACTGTGAATACTGTGGGCTAGAGGACCTATCGCTGGTGCTTCGAAAGAGGAGAAAAATGTTCGCGTCGCAAATATTTGCGGAGCTTTTGCGACGTTTGGTTCCGCTCTACATACCTCGAAAGCAGGTATACATGCAGGACTAAACTTTACGGTAGCTGAAGTCGGAACTATACTCATTGGATTAATGTGGAAGACCGAGAGCTACGCCTGCTTGCAGACGGCGTGCTTCACGTTCCAAGTGCAAAAAATTTATTGTTTTACCTGGACAAGAAAATCAAGCATGATCTAAATATTAGCGTATTAACGAATATGGATTTCGTGGTATCTCGTCGAGGGACTGTGTAACGGGGTAGCCTGTTGCATGATATTAACATCAACTGGATCAATAGGATATTGTCTAGCGTGACAAATCCCTATCGATACAATCCGATATGGATAATTTCGAAGAAAGATTATCTCTTCGTTGGATCATTTTCATGCGCTGCTCAAAGATAGGTTGATAAAAGACATATCAAGCATGGTAACCGCCAATCGCTGCTTGACGCGCGTTATGAGTGGTGAGCAGGTTGTCGTCATTTGGCAATGTAGATAAAGACTGAAGTTATATTGATAACTATACTATATATAATACAGTTCTCGTTTCCCCGTGTACTCAAACTAGCTGTTTGAGTAAATTAGCCTACTTTACACGTACTAGTGTACGTGAGGTTTCGCGGCATTCCAAACAAAGGGTGCCCCGTTACAGACTGAGCTTGCGAAAGCAGTCTTTGTGATTGAATGTGGGGATTTACATCATCCGCTCTTGCTACACAAAGCGGTGGGGATCTAATACTTACACACAGGACAATACAGCCGATGATGTAGAAGCGCTTGATGGCTCAGAATGACCGTTAATTTTTCTGAGTGGATGACAGTTACGTATCATGAAAGTGGTTTAAGAGATGGGGTTGCACGTTTGATGAATACCCTAATATTATGGCAGACCAAGGGCAAGTAGAGGATTATTGATAAAGGCGGATCACAAAACGCCTTGTTACGCGTGTTACCTTGGCAAATATCGATGTAGAACGGAGAAACAAAATAAGAGATCGCAAAATCATAGCAGTGATATAAGTCGTTTGTACGGACTTGATGTTTCCAGCAAAGAATAACGGCACTCAACTGACAGCGATACTTGTGATAATGGATAATTTCTCAGGTTATTAATATTTCCATCTTTTGAAGCAAAAAGACGCGTCGAATGTTTATTCACTCATAAGGGCTTATTTTCGTTGGTCTGAACGATAGGCAATACATTCGTTTTAAAATTTTGTACAAGGAGTAATAAACCTTCAGGTACATGCAATTCTTACTAGTAAGGTCGGTGTGTTTGCCAATGGTGACATTGATATATGGTACCAGTCAAATTCGATCGAGCACAATAAAATTCGGACTAAAGAGCTCGCACAGAATTCTGTCGACCGTCGGCACCAGCCATTGGTAAACAAAGCGAAGGCGAAGCTCCGACGCGCAGAACTACCACAGATGTTTTGGCCCGATGCACTTGGAAGTGCAATCTACTTGAAGAAAAGAATTTACAACACAAATATCGGATGCATAACATTCTAGATGATGCTTAGTACAAAGGCCGACATTCACCACATTCGTACAATGGTTTGCTTGAATGGTGCATGTACCGATCAAGACATCACGAAAATGCCTCTATTTGTTTTCTTCTCGGTCTTAAAGAAGACCACGTTGGGCACAAATTGTATGTTCTAGCGGTAAACACACTAAATTGGGCACCGGATGTGGTAATCGATGAGTCTCTAATCTTTGGTCACCGCAACCATTGTCAGGACTATCGCTTAGAAGAATTACAATTTCCTTCGAAAGTTCAATGAAAAAGAGACATGAGTAATGGCTGACTCCGTATATCATTCTTTGCGTGAAGATGATTTCTCTACACGTATTGAGGAGACATTCATGAGCGATACGCTGAATGACATAGTAAGTATTGGGATAGGAAACATATACAAGGATCAATATATATGCAAGCAGAGATCTCATGCCAAAAATCATGTGCGAATCTCTGCGGAAAAGCCATCGGATAAAGAACATTCTACTCCTGACGGTTTTAGCACGGCTGACGAAGATGACGTGTATCGTGCCTCTATTACAGGGAATGACACTATAACGTGTTTGTCAATTGACAAGTACGATGAAGCACAAGTGACACTTAGTTTGAATTTACCAATAGGAATAAGTCTATCCTCTCTGGGTGATACGTTAAGTGATCAATTATCAAGTGTCCCAGGACCAATTGACGATGTGTCATCGCTTAGACCAAAGGAGTAGCGAGAGAAATTTGAGCTAGCCGTGTTGGCTGCTCGCAAGCGTCAAGAGCGTGAAGAAACACCGTCAGCAGCAGCGGAAGGAGACCCAGGGAAGCGATCAACGCGTCCAGGTCTCAGGTATCATTCTCTACAGCAAAGGCCAAAGCGTTTTGGCTTTGACTATATAGCATATGCTGCATGCACACGCGTGCTTGGGAGCACGGGATACCCAATTAAATTTACCGATTCTAAGAGCTCCGAAAGGATGGAAGGGAAGCACGACGCTCAAATTATGGCAATTAATGGTATGCCGCTCACATAGAAGAGAAGAACGCTTCGCGAGAAATGGAAGCACTCGAGGAGGTTCCACTTGGTGATAAGCCGGCAGACGCAAAAGTGTTTCGAGCCATGTGATTTGGTGCTTGAAGACGGACCAATTTGGACATGTCACTGAGCATGAAGCTCGATTGTTTGCACTAGAAAACTGGCATCGACCAAAAATTGACTTCATGGAGATATCTGTACCGGTAGCACGTATTTCAAGCTTTCGATAAGTTGCAGCATTGTCTGCTAAGCTTGCTAAGATTTACAGATTTTTGGTGCGGATGTCGATACCGCCTGCTAAAATGCCCAAGTTGCGCATCCCGCAGTATGTGCACGACATTGAAGGGTTTCCAAGTCGTCAACATGGCAATATCTACATGGTACGGTAGGCGTTGTATGTCCTACGACAGGCTGGTCATGAATGGAACTCGGAGCTCTGTCAATGGATGATCGAAAACGGCTACGAGCACTGTTCATCAGAGCCGTGCTTTTACTACATGACACGCAAGGATAGATAAATTACATTGGAACTCGTGTATGTCGACGATGTACGCAGTGCCGCGAGCATGATACTGCTTTCACCCATGTCAAAAAATATACAGGACGACATAAAACGAATGCATCGATCATCTACGTACGCCAACAATACGATCCGTGACGAAATTCGCGAATGCATAACAAACTGGACCCCAAAAGCCGTACATAGCGTCTCATCCAATAAAAACACCATCAATCACACACATGTCAACGGTGCTTGGCAAGAACCTTCGTCCTTCATACCGTCGCGTATCAAACTCATCATCACTGCCCCTACCGTTTAGGATACCTCCCAGACAATCTACCGGTATCTCCCACCACTCACACTCCCTCTCCCCCTCGCCTCAGTGACACCCCAAAGTAGCATCACCTCCACCTCCACGTCATGGCCCCCGACGCCGAGCTGCTGTCCGAAGCCGACGGCGCGTTCTACGCGTTCGCCGGCGTCATGCTGGCGCTCTACATCCTGCCGGCCTTCCTCTACACGCTCCACCGCTTCCTGCGCGCGCCCAAGACGCTCCGCTCGCTGTCGTTCGCGCTGCATCTCGCGCTTCTGGCCGTCGCCTGCGGGCTCCTCCTTCGCTGTCTGTCTCTTCTCCAGCACGTGGACACGTCGGGCGTGTTCGACCCGTACGACATACTGGGCGTCAGTGAATCGTCTTCGTCTCGAGAGATCAAGAAGGCGTTCCGCTCGCTCGGGCGACAGTTGCATCCGGACAAGAACCTCCACGATCCCAAGGCTGCCAGTGCCTTTGCACGTGTGACCAAGGCCTACGAAGCGCTCACGAACCCCAAAAGCATGGAGAACTTCCAGAAATACGGCCATCCTGACGGCCGCCAAGCGCTGCTTTTTGACGTGGCGTTTGCCTCGACATTTAGCAGCAGCAGCTCGGGCTCGATCGTTGTTTTGCTGTACTTTGGCGCGATGTTTGCTGGCGTGGCGTACTTTTTGTACTGGCTCCAGAAACGCTCTGGACGTCGAGATCGGACCGCTGTCTCGCGCGCCACGCGCGAGCGTTTTGTCGCGGCGCTCACGGCCAAAATGAGTCTCCACGACGTCGTGGAGCTGCTTTTGTCGTGTGACGAGATGGTGGGTGCAGCTGCGGGGATTCTGGACGACGCTCGGAACGAAGCCCAGCTCAGGACCAAGACGCACGAGAAACTGGCCAAGAGAATGGACGTGGCCAGGGCGTTGCCCAGTGATGTGATTAGTCGCATTCGCAAGCATCCGGACCCTGTGGCGCGCGAAAATATGCTGGCGCTGTACCAGTTTTTACGTCGAGGGAAACTGCAGGGCGTGTCACGTCCAGCGTGGGTGGACCAGCGGTTTCAGAAAGTGCTGCTTGAGCTGCCGTTCTTGGTGGATATTTTTGCGACGATCGCTGCCGAGCAGCTTGTCAAGCGCGCGTATCCGGCGATCACGCTGCTGCGTGCGCTGTCGCTAATGTCGAGTATTGCTCAGGGGAGTTTTGTGCCGGATGACGTGGCGTTGCGTGACCAGAATGAGCGCATGGCGGCTGTGGATGGACAGTTGCCGAAGCTGCAGCTAGAGAACACTTCGCTGGCTGTGCTGGACGAGCCGATTGTTCAGCCTGGAGACTGGCTGACGCTGCAGACTACCCTGCAACGACGTCACGTTAAAGAAAACGATACGGCGCCACTGGCTGCTACGTTTTACGATCACGTGGACCCTAAGAGTCCATTTCGTAAGGAGCATGTATGGTTCCTTGTCATGGACAAGGGAACGGGTCGGCTCTACTCGGCTTGGAAGGTACGAATCTATTCGGCTTTGTCTATTTCTCGGTCCCGTGTATGCAGCTAGTACTGATTTTTGCTGCTCTGCTACAAATGATAGTGTATAGACCTGTCTCAGCGTGTCGTGCTGAAAGAAGGTTTCCTGGGACCTGAGACTCCAGGTATTTACTACGTTTCTTGTAATTTTGCATGACGCTACGACCTTGCTGTGAACCTGCCTGACGTGACGATTATTGAATCTATACTTTGCAGGGAAGTACGAGTTGGAGGTGCGCGTGGTGTGTCCGGCGTATCTGGACGTGCAGTCGAAGGTTTTGCTGCCACTTGTCGTGGAGACGTCGTAGATTCTGGATAGAAGAGCACTGACTAGCTTGAGCATGATAATACTGGGATCTCAAGTTCCGTAAGATCGGTCATCTATCTTCTTCACTGTACCACTTCTACCATGTCTGCATACACATACTTAGTCACGCGTATTACAGCGGTCCATAGCATCTCAGGTCCATTATGCGCCGATTCTATCGTAGTGTCATCATGTTGTCCATGTCCTTCCACGTCCAGTCCACTCAGTACTGCAATGTCTGTTTCGTGCAGGTTCAACCAAAGGTTCACCATTTCGAAACGGGACAACCAAAAGCTCCGTCGCGTCGTATCCGAGCACACTTTGTTAATTGACTTGTGGATCCGACTCAACGTATCTTGTTCCTGGACAGTCAAATTTCCGAGCGGCATTGGACAGGACTCGAACGCACGACGACGTACCCGAAGCCACTAACATCCACAGTTGCAGCAGAGTCCACGGATTCGACAGACGACGCTCAGGAATCGCACGAAAGTCTGTAAAGTTGTCGTGGTATTTCCATTCTTGACCGAACGAAGTGCTCTAATTCGAGCTGCGCAGATCCGTCCGATTTGTCCGCCCGTTGGTCAGTGGGTACTAGAGCGGTCTGCTGGTCTCATTGCTCCACAAGGCACCTGATGTGGCAGCTATGACAAATTCGAAAAAAGGAGACGGGTTACATCGGCTCACGAGCAGCAGGTCCCCTTGCAACAGCAGCTGGAATCCAACGAGATCATTCAAGTCGTGCATGCCCCTCCCAGCTGGTCTTGTGAGCTGATTGGAAACACGCCATGCCCTTGAACAAACACGATACCTTTGATGCCCGATTGTACTCCAATGCGTTAAGACTTCTTGCCTTACCATGCGAGCTTGGAACTACCGGAGCACACAGACAAGAAGTTGCCGAAAAAACCATCCTTCTTGCCAAAGTGCATTCGGCAAAGAAGGATGGTTTTATTGGTCTTGTCACTCTAGTAGACAAGCACGTCCAGTGCAAGGCTGCTTAACTGATGACACAGGTATCATCAGCCTTGCTCTTGTCTTCTTCCTCTTTTTTGGCTTGAGCTTTTGCTTGCTCCTCCTCGTACTTTTGCAGTCGAGCTTCACGCCGCAAGAAATACCCCGCCGTCCGATTCAGTTTGAAATGGCGTTGGCGGCGGCGAATGCGTTCGTTTCGTTGCTGCTCGAGCTTTTCTTCCACGACTTCCATTCCGTAATAACGCGGCGGCATGTTCCCACGTCGAGCAGCTTCTGGTCCATAGTGATGTGCGAGCCAGACTTCTTCATTAATGCCATAGAGCGGACGTGCTCGGAGGTCAGGGGCACCTCCAGTTGCAGCGTACGGGTGCTCCGTCTGACCTGATGTAGTAAATGGCCGGAAGCTCTGTACTGGACGGGAGGCGTCGTATTCCCGTCGTTTCTGAGCGTCCGTGAGTACCGAATGCGCCTCACTCACGTGTTTAAAGCGCTCGGCTTTGGTTTCGTCATTGCCGGTTACGTCTGGATGCAGGGCCTTGGCTACAAGGGATATCACCGTGAGATCGGGAGGTATTTGATTATTATTTATACTCACGATAAGGAGACGCACCGAGTTGGAGGTAAGCGGCCTTGATTGTCTTGGTAGATGCAGTGCTGAGGTAGTGGAATAGCGTTAGAGATTACGGCACGAAATATATTGCAGTAATTATCCTGTGCTCGTGGAGGGGACTTTACCTGGCGACATTTAGCACGCGGTAATAGTCGACGGACGTCATTTTCGAGAAGGTCGGACGTCTTTTTAGATTGGAAAAAACACACGAGATGGACGATCGAGCCGTCGACACTAATTATTGATTATTTATTCGCTCCGGCGGATCTTTAGGCGAAGCCCGTAATAAACACAGGGAATTGCTCGATGCTTCACTCCCTCGATTCACTCGTTTTTCGATTTAGTAAATATTTGGAATCGTACTTTTCGATTGGACAATATTAAGCGTGAATAACGCCTGCTTTCTCTTATGATACCCTGCAAGCTCTACCAATTCTGCGACTGAATAACAGCAAGACTCTTCTGAATCCCTGGTACGTCCAGATGACGCGCTTATAGCTTTTGGGTCTACGCGTGGGATTTGTCCCGAAAATATCAGCCTTAGCCGTTGGTTATTCCAACAGTCTGATTTGTTGAGCAGCTTCTGTCGAGAGCCTTGCTGATGGTGCAAGTTTATCTTTCCCGTTTCGTGCCAAGTTCATGTTGAATGACCATGAAGATTGCAAAATAAATTTTGTCCCTGTTTAGAGCAGACCGAAAGACGGGAAAGGTTTTTTTGCAGATTGTTGAAGATATTCGTTTGATGGGATTTTATGCAACGTCTCCTGAGTGGAAGAATCTCGTACGCGTGGGATAAAAGCTATCGTCATCATTATCCAGCACGTTCGTTTGGACCGGACTTCCATCTTCTTTGGACGCACCACAAAATGCTACCAGGTGTAACGGACTACCAGACGCTTGTGCTGGCACTCTCGAAGCGACTTACAATGAAGATAGTAATAGTTGGTGCCATAAGACTTAACGTACACGAACTGTTTCAATGAATATCATTTGATCTACTTATGAGTATGTCTAAATAAAAATGTATTGCAACAATCAGCTCAGAGAAACGAACTAATTTGTAGATCCGAAACTCAGCAATTATTAGATCAACGCTGAGCTGCATATGCGACATATCACACCATCGGTTTGGATGGTGGGCAGGCTGTGATTGAATAAATGATGCGCACATTTGTGAAGCCACAATAAAGCTGTGGGAGACTGCGTGCAAGATGTTACGTTTCGATCAGCACTTGTGAGGGACGCGATGGTGTCATCGCACCCGATTGGGGTGGTGATTAATTCTTGGGTGAAGTAATGAGATGTGGGATGCGATTTTATATCACAAGAGATTCATAGTAATGCGGATGCTGTCGAAGTATCTCGGTCGCGATATGCAAAATTGTGGCATACGCGACCACCCAGTGAAGTATAGCTGCAAACGAGTTGTGCCAAGTTTGTTGAAGTGCGCTGTTTAAGAAGGCATTCCAGAAGTTGATAAGCATAGCAGATACATGGTAAAGATAGGCCGGCTTTCCATTGAGTACATTGACGCACCACGATGTGTAGATGCACACTTGTTTAGGCTCCATCTTATGCCGGAACTTGGATAGGACGGACAATGTGGTGAGCGATGCGCCTTTAAATCGTTGCAAGTCGGGACACTTCAGTGCTATCAAAAGCCTTTGGATTTGGAATGCAAAAATGTCGTCTCTATAGAGCTCGACGACAATCGGGACACCATTAGTAATGGGTAGTGACATGAATGTTCAGATCGCTGTACCTGCAGATCCGAAAGACTGGATCAAGATGAACTTTAGCTAGACGGGCTGTACCCTCGTGTACGATTCTGAAGCGTCTTGAGATTCCTGTGAAGAAAGCTTTATGGAGTCCCTGATCGTGTGAGCCTATTAAAATCGGCATTTGCTTTGCTCACACTAGGGTACCACGCTTGCGAGACGCTGTTTGGGCTTCACGGGCGCATACGGAAACGGAAACTTTAGTAATGGCAACACGATACATTGATTACTTCAGTCTGTCCAGAAATACATATTTCCCTCAAAGTTTATGGGTACGAACTCTGTTTGTACGTGTAGCGGAGCTACATAGCTCCTGAAGTCAGAGGAAGACTTGTGATCAAAGAGCAGTATTAGAATTAAAGAATCAGACTTTACGATTCAACAAGCGTAAAGCTTAAGGTCCCTATTCAGGGGACCGAGCGTATCAGTGAATCTTCAGCAATTAGTGCCTAAGATAAGCAACCTCAGCAAAAGTTTTGATCATTCTTAACGATCAAAGATCATAGATGCCTCGCAAGGCACATGTATTAGACAGGATCAAAACTGAACTTTATTGACGTTAAACTCTATAGAATACCTTAATTCTTATATTACATAATATGGGCACTCATATCCTAAATAAATATGCTCACGATCTTTTCTATCTTGTGGCTGATACCCGTCAGCCCCTAATAAACCGATAAGAAATTCTGTATTTCATTCAGTGAAATGCCATCCCGTGTGTCTAAGACACAGAGTACTGAGTAACCTACGATATAAATTCCCCTTTAAAGTACGCGTCATATCGCGATTGAGTTAGGATTCTGATCATCATAGCAATTTGACGCTGACATGGGTAAATTACGCTTAACATTTATTGCTTATGTCAAGGACAAGAATGTGGTTAGAAGCGAAGATAGAAAATTAAAACTTTGGCGGCGATTCGGCTGCGCTATTGGGCGATGCGTGGTGTCGGTTTTAAACTTAATTTTCGGCAATGAGCCCATTCCAAAGATTTAGAAAAAATGCACAGAGAGAGCGACGTGCCGAGCAATGCGATGAACATTTTGTTGCAATGCGATGAGAGTCTAATTTATCGGAAACGCTACAGATGTTGGAAAGTGTAGTGGTGAATGTGCGATCGCAAGGCATTAGTCACTTATTTTTTTTAATATTATCACTGCAGCAAGTGATAAGGTTGGATCCGAAGTGGCATGAAAATATGTTCAAGACAATTAGGGCTTTCTAGTGGCAAAATTTTGGCGACGGCCTAAGCAAAATGGCGTCATCAATCACATTTCAACCGTGGCGATGGCTGCAAAGATTGAGGCTGTTACGATAGATAAATTACATGTCACGATTTAGGCCTCGCCTTAATACTTGTTAAGCGACAGTGTTTCGCAAGCTCCAAGTCCGTTCGTAATCGCGGACCCCTGTTATTGTGGCTGAAGGAGCGAGACGGAAGGTAGCTTGTGACCATGATCGATGGTTGTATATAAGATCGAGGTGATTTAATGTAACGATGTCATAATCCATAACCGGTAGATTTGAATGAGCCAGTTGTAGTCAACTACTGCTGCCAATTTAGGTTGTATTACTATTTACGGAGCTTCAAATGTTGGTAGTAACCATGCTGATTCGCGGCCAAGACTCAATAAATAAAGAAGAATTAATGAGTATGTCTTGATTATTTTAATTAACTTGTCTTGCAAATTTGTTTTGCCATCGAAATTGACACGCGGGCGTATTCTTTGGGCGTCATCACCTGGAAAGCTGATGACCAGGCATGATAAACGTGTTAAAAAAACTTTTACAGCCACTACATGCTTCACATATCGTGTTCCACATTCTCAACGATTTCCAGTGTGCAAATAGCTCAATGTCAAGATAGCGACTGTTATGTAGTAGATGTTGGTGAACGGTTGTGATCAAGTTGCACAATGCATCGCCTAGCGCTTCCGCTTTTTTATATGTGGCGTAATGTTTTAAGCGAGAATCGATGCCTATGCGCTGCATAGGACGTCGCACATCTTTTCAATGATTATTGTGACAAGCATTAGAATTTGAACCAAGCTATGCACGCCTTATCTTGTGCAAGTCATGTCGTGTGCCTGCTTCGGCGACGAATTAGGTTTAAACAAACATGCGATAATCCTCGTCCAGCGCGTGCTGTCTTCAACTCAAATTATTATGGTGGTGAAATATACAGACAACTGACACGCAATTCGATCTAAAGTGCATCCTAGCCGTCAACATTGCGGCTGTGCCTTACAATAATCGAATGAACGGTGTTTACGCCTTAGCTTTGCCTGATCGAGCGTAACACCAAGATGTGTGCCAATACATTTTTGCAATTCACAACTAAAGCATTCTTTATAATGAAGAAAGACTGGGGGGAGTATGAAAATGTTGGAAGCACAGTGGTCGATGTAGATAAGATTCAGCAAGGAAGAGCATGTTTATATAAGACCAGGTATGAGTCTATCTTTGTCATTTATAGTTTACTGACGATGCCATGTCGATCCTGTCAATTTTGTGTCAGTAATATCATAGCTGTTGTTTAGCTGGTATTATTGAACTGCTTTTAATTACAATTCGTACGCTTTCTACAATGAGTGGGTTGTCACAAAAGTACAAGGGTTTTCGTATCAACGGAAATCGAATGGAGCTGTTATTACTGCTTATGATAAGAAGGTGCTTCAAGAAATCATGTCATGTATGACAGGGATCATGAACAATCACATTGGCTGCAGATGTAACCAATCGCTTCTCTCTTTTGGCGCAAGCTTTGTTGTGTAGCGGTCTAAAAGTTGTTTGAAGCAATAATCTCACCTCAAGCTTTTTGTAACGGGGTAGCACAAATGTATGTGAGAACCTGGTACATAGGTGTGGTACACACAGAAAGCGACAAGTGTCACTGATCAGGCATACACTTGTATCACATACGCTTAGTGATACTACCGTACTCTATCTGCTATAGTCAGAGGTTATAAATTGTACAAGGGTCATCGTAGAGGCATCGTAGTTCTTGTGTGGCACAGAAGAACTACGATGAGGAATAATCGATCAGCTAGCATAGTTTCGAGATTAACGATGTTAGTAAGGTTTATTATTGCTATAAATTAGAACTATATTCAGTTCCTCTTTTAATAAGTTCTAGACACGAGTCTTTCTAAGGCGTCTTTCGTCGTAAGAGTCGAGAGCTGGTATCAAGGCTTGTACTAGTGCCACGCGATTACTTGAGGTCGCAGGACCAGGACTAGAGGCTTAAGAGGTTGTACATACGCTTAGAGCTAAGTCTCACTAAGTAATACCCGTTTCGTTTGATATAATAAATTACTACAAGAGTCTAAAAGTCTTCCTCTGACAAAGGAGTAAGGGTAGCTCCGCTATACTTTGCGACTTTAAT